GCTGACCCCCTCTCCCGCTCGCAAACCCGCCCAGGCGGCGGGGGTCCCGCTGCCTGGGCGGCTTTGCTCCCAGGCAAACGAGCAAAGCCGCCCAGGCAGCGGCTTTGCTCAGGTGTCCCTGGTCTGCTGGGGGGGTCCAGCGGCTTTGCTGGACCCCCCCAGCAGACCAGGGAGACCGGGAGAAGCTTTTCTCGCCCCGGAGGACACGGGCGGCGGGTCGCCGCCTGTGAGCTCCGGGGCGAGAAAAGCCCCGTTCGTAAGGGCGGATCCGACATAAGTCGGATCCGCGTAAGTTGGAGACTGCCTGTATATAGTTGGGATTATTTTTTCCAATGTGCATTACTTTACATTTATCAACATGAAATTTTATTTGCCATTTTGTTGCCCAATCACTTAGTTTGCTGAGATCTTTTTAAAGCTCTTCACAGTCTGCTTTGGTCTTAACTATCTTAAGCAGTTTGGTATCATCTGCAAATTTTGTCACCTCACTGTTTACCCCCTTCTTTAGATCATTTATAAATAAGTTGAATAGGACTGGTCCCAGGACAGACCCTTGGGGGAACCCACGAATTACCTCTCTCCACTAGGAAAACTTTCCTTTTATTCCTACCCTTGTTTCCTGTCTTTTAATCAGTTATCAATCCATGAAAGGGCCTTCCCTCTTATCCCATGATAACTTTACTTAAGGTCCCTCACCAAAGGCTCTCTGGAAATCTAAATAACCTACATACACTGGATCTCCCTTGTCCACATGTTTGTTGACCCCCTCAAAAAACTCTAGAAGATTAGTAAGGTATGATTTCCCTTTACAGAAACCATGTTGACTTTCTCTCAACAAATTATATTCATCCATGTGTCTGACAATTTTATTCTTTACTATAGTTTCTACTTATTTACCCAGTACTGATGTCAGACTTACTGGTCTGAAATTTCCAGGCTCACCTCTAAAGCCCTTTTTAAATATTAGCGTGATGTTAGTATCTTCCAGTCATAAGGTGCGGAAGCTGACTTAAAGTTTAAGTTAGGGTAGGACACCTAAATGGGAGCCAAGTATTCAAATATGACCAGTACTCCCATTGTACACTTACATTCTTTTGATAAACTGAGTATAATTCAGTGCCTACATGCTTTGAAAATTTGCCCTCTTCCCCTCTCCCTCCTCCCCCACCTCCAACTGTGGGTGCTGAGCCCTTTTCTAAAATCCTTTTTCCTGTGTCACTCAGGGTCAGGAATTCTAGAATACTCACTGGTCATGAAAATGCATTTTCCATTTGACAGTTAGCATCCAGAAGCCACCAGTCCTCACACCAGGGAGTTAACTTTCTTGTTAGCAAGCAACCCACTGATGTATCTTTTTCCTTGCAACAAATAATTAACTTATGATGACCATGCAGTAATAATTTACAGCACCAGATAAGGCTGCTTTTGTTCACCTTGAAAAGTAACAGCCATTGTATTTGATCACTATGACTGTCTTTCCCAAGTTTTTGTTTAAGTACTGTGACAGATTTGGTCCTGTCGACTTATAGGGAAGACCGGGGGCTGGGGGGGGGGGAGGAGAGGGAGCAGATTCTGTTTAAAAAAAGTTCAAACCCCTTCTTCCCCCCCAAAAAAAACAACAACCTTTGATACTCAACTTTTCTGGAAAGCTTGAAAATACTGATTAAGCCCCAGCCTAACCTCTACTTATCTTTAGGAAAGGAGTAGAACAAGAAATGTGTCTGGACATCTCATTACCTCTCTGACCCTCTAAAATCAGCTTAATCACCCACCCCTCGTCTCTTTCTGGTCTCATTTATTTTTAAGGCCAATACATAGACTTAAATACAATGTCCAACAGAACTACTGCAGCCATAGGACAGTAATGTGCGCTTCCATTCACAAAACCGCTGAGATCATCCTAGTCTCCATGGTAGAAGAGAATTTCTCAGCTTAGAAGAAATGCCTTTATTCGTACACATCCTTCTTATCTGCAATATAATCTACAATCTCTTGTGGACACATTAGCTTTTCTGCTTCTGCATCAGGAATTTCAAACCCTGGAAGACAGAGTACTGCTCAGCTTGTAATAGGAGAGACAACAGCAAAGAAAACAAGCATAACAACTCAATTGCCAGAGCCTTGGCTTGGGGGGCAACACACATGCAGAGGTTGCTGTTCGGCAGCTCAGACGTTGATCTGGCATCTCTCATTACGAATGCTGCATTTCAAACCCCGCTGTACCAGGCCCAGCAGCAGAACATTATGTAAGAGGCGTTAGGCAGAAACAGCAGTTCCTGCCTTCCAGGGTCTCGCTTGCTCCAGCGGAGGGCTGCCAGGGTCACCACGGCCCCACTTGCTGCCCTGTCTGGGCCCCCAGCACCTGGCCCAGTTATCTGGTTACCTCAGTAAGCCTAATGCTTACCAGGTAACCAGTTAACTGTTTACATCCCACTTACATGCAAGGGAGAATGCAAAGCATCAGTTTGATAGCCTTCTAGCAAGTGTCGTTACAGCAAGTAGCTTTTATTATTTCTGCTCTCAATGGCTTTTTTACTCATAACAAGATTCTCTGGCTCATCCCAACATTTAAATGCAGAGAGCGAGCCATGGAAGAAAAAATTCCAGAATATGAGAACTCCTTTCCTCCCTGCCCACAACATTATTATTCTTTATTATATTACAATACCTACAGAGCCATGTGGGATTCATTGTCCTACACATTATGGCAAAAGACAGTTCTGTCCTAGAGACTAAACAAACA